CTCATCTTCCTCATGTCCTCATCCTGCCAAATATGCTTCAATCTTTAGACTATCAAAGTCAAGCTCATTTTCAGTTGCTTAAAGTGCTCACATTATTCTTTTTTATTTATATTAAACGATTTGTTTGCAATTGTTACTATTAAAAAATATTGCAATTAATTACTTTTAAAAAAAAAAGCTTCTAAAATACTTTCAAGCATTTATCTGAGGTGTTTGTGGATACATTTTTTTTTGTGTTAGAAATACAAAAAGTGGGACGCACAATTTGCAAATTAAGAAACATATTTTGATACAGAAGTATTTTAGATCCATATTGGAACCATATGTGAACAACATACTGAATAAAGGCACAATAAAAACATACTAAACACTGTATTGATACTAAATACTCCAGGTAACAACCTTCATATTAGCATATGTCAGGAAAAGATTGTTATTAGCATCATTATTGTTAAACACTTTTCCAGTGTTGACAGAGAAAAAGATCCTGTTTCGCTAAAAAAAAGACAGAAAAACTGACTGAAGACCTTTGGGAAATTCTCTCATTGTAAAAGTAATACAATCGAGACAATAAGGGCGGAAAAGATTAAAAAACAAACCACAATTATATTATACTCCAGGCAAACCAAATAAACTTGTGCTGTGTTAAAGTACTTTGCGGTAATATTCTTTTTAAGTAAGACTTGCACTGCACAGTTGCTGTAAATTATGGGGAAACTCCATAAAAATGGCCCATAGCTTTCAGTCATGACTTCCTGGCTGACACCATCATGGAGAAAAGCGTGTGGTTTTTTAAACCATTTCATGAGCCGGTGCACTATTGATGTAGTGCACTTACAACATGAAACATGTAGATAAATCATCCCTCCATGATTTTCTTTCATGAAGGATTTTATACTTTAGGTTTTAATTCTGACTCGGCTTCTTTGGTGCCCTGCCTTTTCAAAGGGAAAAAACTATCATGGTAAAAACATGCTTGCTTCTACAAAAAAAAAGAAAAAACCCATTTCGTGATTCATACACAACAGAGATGATGATGTTGAAAACCAACAATTCTAAATGTTGCTCTCGATTGTGAAAAGAAAAAAATAAATAGTTTAACACTAAATTGATCTCTTCAACCCTAAATAACAACATTAGTCACAAAATATGTGTGTAAATTGACTATTCCCCTAGAAAACTACTTTATCAGTAAATCACAATATATTTCTCATCTTAGCAATAATAAATATAGAAACGAGCCTTAAATGAGGAGTGCATCATAAAAAAATACAGTGCTAAGACAGTCTGAAGTCCTCTGTATGAATTTATAACACTGTAAAAAGCAGCAATCAATTTGGAGTTGTGGTGCTCATTGTCATATAAATCATGTCACCTAGCATATAGCGGCACATCAGCACAAGGTTAGACAACGTAATTAACTGTGAGGCACCCAGGGAGCTGCTGTGTCAAATCGGCACGCTACTTCTACATACACCTTGTATCCAGAAACACTTCATCACTCAAGGGAGAGCATGTGAGCAATTAAAAAGTGATGATTCACTTGCAAACACAACCTGGAGGACTGATATGAGAGCACAGATGTACCGTAGCACAATCATTATGAAACGAGATGCATATTTAATTGGAGAGAAGTAAAACTGTGTATCACTGACAACTATTTCAATGTTAAAAGATGCGAGAGAATTTACCATCACTGACCATCCAGCATTTGGTACGGGTCCACATGAAAGGGTGGACCCGTGAGTCATATTTCCTTATTTAGAAACACATCAATCATTTTCAGATGACAAAGATGGTATTTTGATAACTAGAATGGGCTGTGCCTACAGCACTAAAATACTTCATTGTCCAAATTAAGTTGACAGTACTTAGGTAAAACCTTTAAAAAATAGGAAAGCTAATTATACACAGTAATGAGTAAAAGTGAGGGTTTCAGACTGGCAACCAGCCTGGTGAATGAAGTTGTGGAAAGTCTAGAAATGTGGCCAAAATAAACTAAATTGAACGGGATAACACCTATGTACACCAAACAGGGGAAATATGTAGCTGTAGTTTACAATTATTAATGGTAAATAGGTAAAGAATAAAGTAAATACATAAATAAGAGGTCAACAAAATCCTTTAGGCAACATGTATGGACAGCACCACCAAAAATAAAACAAGGAAAAAAGATTGGCCCAAAAATGAACTGTTTTATGTCTTAAGTTTTATGGTCAGATGAAATGGATCTGTGCTGGATCGCTATGGACACGAGGGACCCTTCAAGTCAGTTGCCATCAAGTCTGCAAAGAAACAGAAGTGGACTGGTAATGAATTTTTAAAAGGTGACATAATGGGTGTTGAGTTTTCACTCACTTGTAATGTGAACTTGAAGTGAACTACAGAAATTTAGCTTCAAATAGAAAACACACAAAAGGCTTGTGTCCATCACCGGGCGGTGATTTAGGCTGCAATGGACTGCAAACTGACGGGGAAGAGCAAAACGGTGCAACCAAATAAAGTCTTATATGTCGTCGGTAACTTCACATATGTGTTACCATGCGGTGGGCTGAAAATCCCATTAGTGGATTGCTCCAAAAAGCTCCAAGAAAATGTTCGTATACGGACAATCATCTCCTTCCAGAGGATGATGTGTTTCTAAAAGGAAACGTGGATTTTATATCTATTTTCTTATGCCCATCCATTGTCTATTGTCAGTTATAAATACTCAGGAAAACAAAATAAACAGCATTAGGTGTTGAATAAAAAGCTCCAACATTTATTTGGGGATACATTGGGGGAAATGTTAATAATTTTCTTACATTCCATTTTTTAAAAATCTATCTCAGAAGCTTTCATCTTAAAAAACACAAAAACAAAACAAACCAGCTCCCAGACCTGCCGCAGGTTTCTTGAAGACAATCAATGATAAGAACTCGGAGACATTCAAAGTTTCAAACGGGACTAACTCTAGAGGTCTCTGTTCTGTAAAGAACTTCTGACCTCATCCCTTTCCTCACTTTCCATAAGCCCACGGAGACCTGATGGGCCCTTCAAAGACAGGATATACATTGTAAGTGAAGAGAAAACCCCACTTTAAACAGCATTTGAAATGGGGCTGCGGCTTCAAGAAACCTTACTGTAAGCAAACACTGACAGGATAGAAAGCTCGTATTAATCTGGCCATATTTTCAAAGGACGAACATCTATTTTACTTGCATATGAAAATAATTACATCAGAGTGAGCACCAAATTACTATCTAAATAATATACCAGAACCAATAAGTTCACTGGCTGCTCAATTTTCCCAAAATGCTAATCGATGTGATGGCTACTAAAGTTATACAGTAAATCCTGTCATGCAAGACTAATGCTACATCATCATAAGAAAACAAACTAACAGAAAAAGTTATTGCTTCATTAGCAGTGTGGTGACATATGGTATCTTCCTCACGGCTAGGAACAATGAATGTGCATTATACAAACCCAAAGCCTGTCTCAACTAGAAACCAGCGTTGCCAACTTTTTGGTACCAGACACGGGTCTCAGACAACTTTGCAGGCCCCTTTTCTCGTGCACTCAAAAACAAATTTGCAACATTGCAGCAGTAGAACATACTTGAGGGACAAGCTAGTGCAGCACCGTGCAGAAGGCAGCAGCACTATGGGCAAAGCAAATCATTCAACCATATGAGAGCGGAACCAAAAATGTAATCAGTCTATTTTCTTTTTCAATGGATGCTGCTCAGAATAACCTCAGCGAGTCTCTAGCAGCAATGTGGCTGACTGCATCCATTCTGTCAATACTCAAACAAGCCTGTTACTGCACTTTCAGGGTTATAACTGTATAACTAGAGCTTGTGCTCAAACTGTTCAGTTCCAGGAAAACATTTGGTCAAACCTGACACTGGGTGAATGCAAAGATGGTTACTAATTCTTTATTTTTTTGTTTACTTGTGTTTTTCTGCTGGTCCATACAATGTTCTTGAATCATATGTAGTTATTAGAGCAGCCTCAATATAAGCCATTAAGACTTAAAAAGAGACACAGGTCAGATAGTGCAGATTTTCTATCTTCGCACAGTGTCAGAGTTTTAGTTTCATTTAATACAGACAGCTGAACCTGTGATGTTATCATTCAGGGGAACTTTATTAAGTTTCTAACCTCCAGAAATGGTGCTACAAGCCTTACCACTACCTCTTGGTCTACTTGAAGAGGCATTTAACATGAAGAGCCTGGATACTATTTATGATAAAGTACGTAGCCATGACATGAAAATGATTACAACTTACATTACAGTAACACGTGCCGTTTAGAAATCCCAAGTGTATCAGGCCTTTTTTGCCATGTTGCTTTGTTAAGCTGCACAACTTCAATTTGAGTTCAGTCATGAATCTGTATTTGTATCATTTGAGTCATAAATTTAATTAAAAAAACAAATAAAAACATTTTCACAGTGAGCAAACTCACCTGCATGTAAAGTTCGATCCTTCCCCATCCAGACACGTGGCTCCATTGAAACACAGCGAGACATTAAAAGGACCTTCACTGCAAACATCTATATCATTTTCACAAGTCTTTCCTGTGTAGCCGTCCTGACAGAAGCATGCATATTTATCAATAAGATCCACGCATGAGCCTCCGTTCAAGCAGGGACTGCAAGCACAGTCCTGCAAATGAAAAGAGACCAAACATCAATGAGTGAGGCACTGTAACAACAGTCTGAAACATTCAGAATTTACCCTCAACATGACCTTTTTACAGTGTATCTATCAACATCTGGAAAAAACAAAACTGAAGTTTAAAGTGAGTTGCCAGAAATTCAAATCTGATCCATTTATTCACTGAACATTGTGCTCGCAGAGACTTTGTGAGCAGTTTG